TCGTCCAAAATATTATGAAATGCGCATAGCACAATTTCATCGTTGACGTTCAGCCACAACACAACGACAAGTGGTTTGCTACGAGGAGACTCTATTACTTTGTGGCACCTTATATAACCGACCAACTTAAAACTCTAATTTAAAAACTATCAGAGACAGGGGAAAATGCTCACGAAGCATGCATCGATATGACGTGGATGTCTGTATTCTACATAATGACTACGATCAAACTTTCACAATTTTAAAAAGGCGGACCTTTTGTTAGCACAGCTATGGCGGGGAACGCTTATTATGATCTGCACAATGATTATCTAAGTCATCCCGCTGTTGTTGATGCTCGCGAGCTCTAGATAGTATCTCGGCTAGATACCGATCACTTGCTTCACTTGAGTCTATAATATGACCTCAGCCTCCCAAGTGCAGCAAAGTGTCATCTGCGTATGGATCAAGTGTGACGCATAGGCCCTCAACTTGCTCCTTAGCGCTCGAGAGACTCCTTGATATATGCCTTGGTAGAAACCTCCACGATCTATGTGTCTATTCAACGGGCAACAGGAAAGTTTCAACTCCATTGTACCCGTTGAATAGCCCCCGGGGCCCCGTTGAATTCCCTTTGAATGGTACAACGGGCCCTCCCCGTTGAATATTGTTCAACGGGGAGGGTGCATTGGGCCTCGGACACGACGCTGGACGCACGTGAACCAAAAAAAAATTGTCCCGTTGAATCCCGTCGAATCCCCGTTGAATCCCTGTTGAATCCCTGTTGAATCCCGTTGAATCCCCGTTGAATCCCCGTTGAATCCCGTTGGGAAAAAAAAAACGGACATCGTCCAAAAATTCCGGAAAAAAACTATGTTATGCAGAAAAATAAACTGAACAACTTTTGCCTCAGGGTCACATTGAAAATCTTCACCAAGTTAAAAATAAAAAATAAAATAAAAAAATAAGTTATTATTGTTATTATTTTTTTACGTGCGTGTGTGTGTGTGTGTGTGATCGGGTGGGGGTGGGGGGGGCGACCCATCCCCTACCAATCAATCAATCAATCAATCCAATCAATCAATCAATCAAAAGAGAAAAAAAAGTTAAAAAAAAGGGGAAAACCCGCTTTTCTCGTTATTTTTATTTTTCCTTTTTTTTTTGATTGATTGATTGATTGATTGATTGATTGATTGACTGGTGGGGGATGGGGCGCCCCCCCAACCCCCACCCAATCACACACACACACACACACACACACACACACACACACACACACACACGTACTTGCGCCGAAGTTGGGCGGGGTCCTCGCCCGCGCAACTTGGGTGAAAGAAAGTGAGTGTGTGTGTGTGTGTGTGTGTGTGTGTGTGTGTGATTGGGTGGGGGTTGGGGGGGCGACCCATCCCCCACCAATCAATCAATCAATCAATCAAAAAAGGAAAAAAAATCTATCTGTTTTGAGTCCGGTTTTGTTTTTGTTTTTTTAAAAATAATTTAATTGCTAAAAAAATAAACAGAAAAATATGGGGATGTAGAGAGCAAAAAAATCTACACCCCCATATTTTTTTTTGTTTTTTCCACCTATGTTTTGCCTGCAAAAAAAAAATCCGCGGGCCGAGTTGTACCACGTTCAACTCGGTTCAACGGGGAGTTGAAACGGGAGTTGAATGGGAGTTGAACCGTTCAACTCAAAACCCCCGTTGAATCGGATTTCGGACACATAGTCCACGATATAGGTGGCAATCTAGGATTCCAGCTCAATGGTATGGGTGGCAGTCCAGGATTCCAATGACTCGTTGCAATATGACTAGAAGCAAGCAAGAAAAGAAGCCCCCATTTGATGAACTGTACGAGTGCCAAAACTTGGATGATGTCCAGTTTATCCATCGGTGCAGCAACGCAAAGGAGGATGCCGTCGAAAGGAACATATTGAACTTTACCAAGTGTGGAATGGTCTTAAGCCGTTTGTATGCGACAGTCGTATACTTTATAGCGATATATATATAATAGATGTGGAGTAGGCGGATAGCGGAAGCTCATTCCATTGGAAGGTTGTCAACGTTGGGACAATTTACAGAAATTACGGGGGTCGATAACCAGTAGACACCTATCAAATATGTGGGACCGCCAAGCATTTATTTACTAAGAAGATGTTGACGGGAAGGCTTATATTTCATCAAATATATCATGAACATGAAGTGTGTCATGAGTAGGCAATCGGATCCTGTACAAGAGTACAAAACAACACGTCATATTGAATTGTATATTGGGGCATTGGCGGCCATCAAAGCATTGCGTTGCGTAAAGTACGTATGGGACCTCACTCCACTGCTTTAGAAATGTGCAAAATGATAATGGATCTTCTGCTATAACTTGGAAAGATATGCTGTCATATTTTCCTTTTTTCTTGGATGTGAGCAGTAGTGAACCGAGGTCCATCGTCCGAACAGTGTTGTCAAATTCAACTGAGCCTGTCTAAAAATAAATGCAGACCTGTGCAACTGTACCAAAACTTTTGCGGCCACGGACCAAAACCGAATAAAAAATGTCACGCTTGCATCAGAGCTTGGCGAACAATGGGGACTTTATGCTCATGAACTTTGACTGATATTTATTGGTGCCTTAATATATAAAAAAATTGTAGGTCACTCCCACTAAATATTATACTTGTTGCATGGCATTGTGCTTCCAACATATGTTAGGATGGGCTGTACTACGTTGACATAAGCGATTAAGGGCCTCGCTGCACTACTCTTGAAATGTGCAAAATGAGAGTGAATCTTCCTCTAGAATATGGAAAGATACACGGCCATGATTTTTGTCTTTTGTGCATTTCAAGAGTAGTGCAGCGAGGCCCTAAGTCTCTGCACAAACATGGAACGCTCGTGCAACTGAATCAAAGCAGTTGGCGGCGCATGCCAAAAGAAAAACAAAAATGCCACACTCACATTCCGGCAAAGCTTGGTGCGCAACGGAACCCTCCTGGTCCCTCCTCCTTTAAATAGTATGTGTTTATTTTATTTTACACCAGTACCCCTTACTTACGCGGGCGAAGCTGCATTGGCCCATCTTGTACGAGTTATACTTCCGGCCAGATGCAGCTAAAATGAGGGTGCGTTGTGTTCGGGGGAAGACGGTAAGGGGGCGCAGCCCAGAACACTTGTATGTCGGATAAGGGCCGCGCGAGGGCTCATTCCTCGCAGGTCTATCTACATCTACATCCACCAAAGAAGCAGTTAGCCATTAAGTATTGCCACCAACGGGATTTGAGCATTTGATCTTGTTATCAATGGTTTCAAACTTGTAACCTATTGAAATTATTTGTAAAAAAACAGTTGCTGGCATCCCGTGCTGAATCCTATGCAGCCATATTGGGCTTTAGTATGTTTTTTCCCCCCACTTTCCTAAAAGGGAAGGTGCTGCTGAGCCTGGGGTGTACCCGCCTGGCGGACAATGCTACACACAGGTAACTACTTTCAAACAGATAGCAGTTTTGAGTTCTGGTGAATTCAGTGAGGGCGGGGGCTACAGACGTCGCAAAGTTTTTGTAGGTGCAATTGCAAAAGGCCAAGCGGATTTGCACACCCACATCAGGGCCATAAAACAAACATGTCAGCCTAAAAGGCCATTCCACTGTGCCCATATCTTTTTGGGACATTTTGACATATATCTCAACTTATGGGGGTATTTGGAAAATTACTCCCCAGCCCCCCAAAAAAAGGAGACTCTCTCTCTCTCTCTCTCTCTCTCTCTCTCTCTCTCTCTCCTGTCTCTTATACACATCTAGATGTGTATAAGAGACAGCCCCCTTGTGCGACCTCGCAACCTCCTTGTTCTCCCTGGCGGCCCCCTCCTCCTGTTGGCATGAACTCCTCCTCCTAGCACAACCTCCACCTCCCACCGGTGGAACCTCCTCCCCCTCCCGCACAACCTCCTGCAACCTCTCGTCCCCATTGCACGACCTGCGCCTGCCCCTCCCACGACTTCCTCCTCCCGTTTGCACGACCCACTCCTCCCCCTCCTCGGATCTCCTCCTCCCCCGTGTGCGACCTCCTCCTCCCCCTCGCACGACCTCCTCCCCGTCCTTGCACGATCTCCTCCCCCTCGCGCGACCTCCTCCCGGTCCTTGCACGACACGCACTTCCCCCTCGCAGATTATCTTCGGACCTCCTCCTCCCCCTCACATCGGCCAAGGCATCAGCACGCCGTTGGATGCTTTGTAACTTAGAACTATTTTATTGTGGTTGCCGCTGGATTCGAAGTCACGTCTGGAATTCAACAGTTTCATGTGTGCATCAACTGGGCAACCTGCCACTGTGCAAAATGAGAAGGAATCTTCCGCAAGAACATAGGAAGATACACCGCGAGCGACAGATGCATTGAAAAGAAATCCCGGTAGAGAGAGAGAGAGAGAGAGAGAGAGAGAGAGAGAGATGGTCCTTCCATTGATAGGATAAGCAAAATCGAAAACATCGAAATATACACTACTACACACGTGTGTGTGTGTGTGTGTGTGTGTGTGAGAGAGAGAGAGAGAGAGAGAGAGAGAGAGAGAGAGAGAGAGAGAGAGAGAGAGAGAGCGGAGGAGGGGTTGGCACGGAGATGGAACCCTTGGACTCCTAATGCTATCTTTTTTTTTTTTTACCCCTTACAGAAGTTACATTTCTGTTTTGTGGGCGATGCCACAACAGGCACTGTACTCCCCCTGAATGTCTGGGCATGTAGGAGGCAGGGTGATCCCAAAGGGGCGCAAGCATGAACCTATCCTCTATGCATGCTGTTGTTACTTTCAAACTGAGGTCCATTGAGAGGCAATCGGCTATAATTGTTTTATGTTGTATGGTCTGAGGCCTGCAATAATAGCATATGGTGCAAGAAAACGAGTCTGCATGAGTTCTTGGACGTGTACAATACTTACTACAAGTCTTGTATGTGGGCAACATGGAGTTGGGCCGAAGCTGATGCCCGCATTATTGAATGATGATCAATGCACTCTGATGCTTGACTACAATGTGCAGGATTGTAGACGTGGCCGGTGTTTGAGATTAGATGGGTTGTACCATCATCATCACTGCGGGATCCACAGATTTGATGATGGCACAGGCTGGTCATGAACCTCATTGAAGCAGGGAAGAGTGGGCGTGACAATTTGTAACAAGAATGAGAGCAGTAGTGCTTGTGCCAGATTTTGAGAGTGCAGTGTGCCAACGGTATTTGTACAGACAATGCTGACGTGAAGGAGGCAGGGCTGGCGTTTTTCAGCAGGCGTGAGGATCACAAGAGAGTAGTAGCGCCCTTGTCAGATTTTGAGGGAGAGAAGAGACTCGAGTGCGCTGCTTGATAGTGCTATTTGAACAGGCAAGGCTAATAAGAAGAATGAGGCAGGCCAATGTTGTTCAGCAGGCGTAAGCATCACACCATTGGCAACAGGCAAGGCTAATAAGAAGAATGAGGCAGGCCAATGTTGTTCAGCAGGCGTAAGCGTCACACCATTGGCACCATCCATTTTGTCCCCTTTGTAATTTACTGTTGCAGCTGACTAATCTGGGACGTTGGGAAGGAGTGGGCGACCCCTATATTGCACACAGGATGTATGTATACCCAGTGAAAGTTGATGATGCAACCCAGCGTTGTTGAGCAGACATAAGGATCACAGCATCCACAGAATCTCTTGGGTCTCATTTTTTGCACATTTTTTGCACAGGTGTGGGCAGGCCACCTATCATATCACGTGCAGGGTGGTTGCGATCATGATCATTCAGAAAGGTGGCTTCCTGATTAAAGATGATATGACAGCCATCCATGCACATGGTAGTGTCCCTTCTTGGCCCTGAAATGAGGAAAGAGAAGCGGACAAATGATTCCCACCCCGTTGTGTTAAGTGGGTCGAAGTTCTGGAGAATGTACTGCCAGAGTGGTTGTGAGCCTCTGGCAGAGTGTCTGCTGTTCATAATGCGGACACGAGAGGAACGGCAAGTGGTGGCGTGCCTTTATGGTGGTGACTGGCTCATGAACTTGTGCCCCAGTAGGAGCAATAGTTCCTGGGAAGCAATAGTCCCTTCCCAGCGCCCCTGACCTCCAGTAGGAGCAATAGATGTTGGGGTTCCTGAGATGGACAAATGCGGACAAGAGAGGAACGGCTTTTATGAGAGCCAACCCAACCCTAGATGCAGACCCTTGTGGTTAACGTTGGTAGGATATGGTGCATGATTGTGTGTGCATGGTGCTGCTCATGCCTTGGTCAAGTGATGCTTGACCGGTGTATACCATGAAGAGGAATAAGGCTCCACTGGTGCTACGTTCGTACTTGGAAAGCATGAACCCGGTCGTTATCATGGTTGTGGTCATGCTTGGTAAGCATGAATCTAGCACCGGTGGGAGCTGGCCCGGACCTGAAAATGTGTCGGCTATGTGGTTTCTTCTCAAGGTCCACAACATCATGGGAATGCGTGGGCAAGGGAAGGTGCACATGTTGGACGACTCCATCAACCCACCAGTGCCTGGGATTCATGTTGGGAGTGAGTATGGGGTATATAATTCAGGTGGCTATGCTGATGAGAGGCAGATCCAGGACAAGGGGAAGAGTTTTCCATGTCATAATAGGCAAGTTTGAAGAAGAGAGGGAGTGGGAGTTGGAGGTGGAGGTGGAGGTGGTTGGGCAGGAGGGGAGCCACGTGGACATCAGACTGGTGCAGGGATATGGGTCAGGGGCGCTGTTGACAATGACAGGATAAGTGAGTTTGAAGAAGAGAGGGAGTGAGAGTTGGGGGTGGTTGGGCAGGAGGGGAGCCGCGTGGACATCAGACTTCTGCGGGATACGGGTCAGGGGCGCTGTAGACAATGGCAGGATAGCGGCACTGCGCGCGATGTGTTCTGGCCAAGGACGAGAGAGAATCTGAGTTGTCAAGTAGCATGCGTACGAGGGTGTGCTATGGCAGGTTGCTATGCCTGTCGTGAGGAAAGATACACGAGTCAGTACCAAGATCAGTAGTTGGACGAGCACCAGAGCAACCAGATGAAGAGGAGGAGGGGTGGACACAGGAGCGTCAGCCAAGGACGAGAGAGAATCTGAGTTGTCAAGTAGCATGCGTACGAGTGTGTGCTATGGCAGGTTGCTATGCCTGTCGTGAGGAAAGATACACGAGTCAGTACCAAGATCAGTCGTTGGAGGAGCACCAGAGCAACCAGATGAAGAAGAGGAGGGGTGGACACAGGAGCATCAGCAAAGACAAGGAGTGGTGCAGCAAAGACTGGAGGGTCTGAAAGATGGGTGCAGGAGTGAGAGTTCGGATGGTTGCCCAATGGATGGAAAAAGAGACGCAATGGCAATAGATAAATCAGCGGTGAGTGTCAGACAGCTCTGTGCCCGCCTGGACAATGAGTGACCGTCTCTGCAGCATATCCTATCCATTCCTTTGTGCACTCCCGTTCCAATGATGAAGGAGGTGGTGCTGGGAAGAGCATGAAAGAAGCGGAAACAGCCTGCTGGAAAGGAGATGAACGCAATACCCAACTCGAGTGTTTCGCTATAGGCGGTGTGGCCCACGGAAGCAGCGCAGATAGCATGTCAGTTGCTGTGGCGAGGAAGGAGGGTGGGGCGCGAGTGGAGAATGGAAAGGTGAAAGGAAGAATGCCTGAGAAATGAATGCAGAGCAGGGTAGGAGCGGGGCAGAAAGGATAATTGTGATGTGGAGCTGAACCAAGAGAAAAAGGCAGAGGTCTGGTGGTGCTGAGTGTTGACGGCCACGTGGTC